CTAAATATATAAAGAGATATAAGTATATCCCGAAATATATGTGCCGAGAGAATGACGCAAAGAAATTTTGAATTGACACCAACAAGAATTGACAATTCTTTCATGCATTGCATTTTTGATAAAATTGTGCATTTTTATACTAAATAATTCTAATTTTATGTTTGTATATTTAAATAGAGTCGCTAAAAAATACCTGATGCCGTTAAAGAATTAACCGGAGGTCTAAATCACATAAAGTTCTATATTTAGCATGTCTGTTTTTCGAGATTTAAAAGTATTCCACACTTAACCTGCATGACTGTTATCAGCATCTTAAAATAATCTTTTCTTAAATATTGATTATAATAAATCTGACGTGGTAACGGATTGTGTAATTTTGTTTAATCATCAGAATATTCATTGAGATATTCATTGGGATACCGTAAATAGACAAACTTCTTCTGTCACTTCTTTCAAGCATCATCAATGTTAGCGACTTTATATCAAAATCATATTTAAATAAGATGATTTGAATAATTCTCTGCAAATTTAAAACAATAACAGAACGAACTCTCTTGCAAAGTTTAATACCACGTATTATACGTTATTATACAATTTATCATCAAACGAATGGTTGACCGGCATCGGGAGCGCTTATTTTTATTTGTTTAAATGCTCTTACACGTTGCTATATTGCAAATGGTGTTTTCATTTGTAGATAATTTGAATATTTGAAAATATAGTCGCTTTCGTTAGGTAATTTACAAATCCTGTTGTAATGTGATGTAAGAGAGCTTTTAAGTGATCTAGATAAAACCTTTATGTAAACATAACGATAAATATTGATGACCTTCTCTCTCGTTAAATGAAGTGGTCCTAGTATTTCGAAATTATTTAATTCAAATTGAATCCAAAACCATTGCACTCACATTAACATTGATTTTTTTCAAATTCAGGTATCTGCTCAAGCTTCCGTTATTTAAATTGATATTCGTTCCTGATATAACAATTATATTATAAGATGCCGGTTTCTCAGGTCTGATAATTAAAAACAGAGTTCACCATTACCACATACCATAATGCTGGCTATTTTTCTTTTACGGAACTTGGAAGTACATATAAATATATACACTGCTGTTGGTCGAAACATATTTGCATTTATTTTTACTCCAACAAATTATACTAAAGTGTCTTTCTCTTGGAAGCCTTTTTCCTGCTATCACTTCAACCATTTCGTCATAAGCAGAATGAATATCTTTTTAATTTAAAATTACCCTCATTTATGTTTGAATAGCTTTAATTTGATTATTTTAATAATTAGAAGCAAAATTAGCATATTCAGCAAAAAATTCCACATTTATTTTAAAGTTTGGATGATGTACTATGTAGAAAAGAATTCCGAAGAATGACTGCAACATCATCTTATATTCTTTAATAATAGAATAAATTCTTCATCGACATAATCGTTTAAAAATTTTTGAATTATTTTTTCAAAAGATTATTTATCACCTTTGCATTATGCTACAATTTTTCAGCTGCATTAGTTTTATGTAAATTTTGTTCTTAAATGCTGAAACTCCAATTTTTGCATTTTTCAGATTTCTGCTTCATCATTTTAGTGTCCATTTTTTCTATTTTGCAATTTTTGTTTCTAAATTATACCCCCAGTTTTTCACGGGCTACGAATTTGTTATGGATTCGGTTTTCAATTGTGTATATAGTTTTTATATATATGTTTTTATATATAGTTTTTATACTATGTTTACATAGTTTGCATTTATTCGTAATGTTGCTCATATACCATTTATTTAATAATATAAACTGCTTAAGTCATTGGTTATTCCTGAATTCAATTTAAGAGAAAATATTATGTTTTTAATTATTACGTTTATGACGTTTTACTACTACGAGGAGCACTAACATATAAAATTTATCAGTACTACAGTATTTTTCCTTATTTTTATTCTTCTAAAATTTTATATTTTTTATTACTATGAGAAGAAGAAAAAGAAACAGTAAAAAATTATAACTGATAACTACTTTACAATATTCACTGCAATAAGTTTAATCAGGAACTGACCTCCTTTTACTATTTGCTCTAGGATTTTTATACCAAATCGATTTCCTGTATTAGTCAAACTTGATTAAAATTAATTTCTAATTTCTTACAATATATTCATCAAATTATTTATGTGAATTGAAATTTAATATTTAAAGCAGGAAATTGATTTATATTTTATAATTACAATTTTAATATTCTATATAGTGAGTAATGATTCACATTCGTTATTTGAATTTCGAAATATTCTCAATTGTTAGTTATAAAACATATATTTTTATTAACGATCGAAATAAAAATTGAAAACATTAAAAGGACATTACATTTTACTTTACTTATGAATGAACTTGAATATATTTCATATAGAAGAAATAATTCTAAGAAAAATGCATTACGTTATGTTAATATTATCTAATCTTGCAAAATGTAGTTTTATTATTTTAAATGGAAGGGTAATTATGTATGTAATGTTGTTTTATTATTTTAAGTTAAACATATTTTTTTTGGGGGTTCTTATGAAAAAGAACAAATTATTTTAAACATGGACGTTGCCATAGTACGAGTAATGGAACAGCTAACTTCATTTCATTTGGAAATAGTTTTTCAATTAAAAAAACTCAGCGAAATATTTGAAAAATAAATGCGCAAATCAGAGAAGGTAAAAAAAAATATATACGTGTGTGGATACACTGAATATTAAAATATAAAAAGGTTTGTTTAATGATATTATTCCAGGAATTAAAAATATCAACAGGTATTGCTGCAAGTAAGTCAATGATCGCTTTGGCTGCGTAGTAGATTTGTCCAACTTGTATTACAATAATATCCTAATTTGAGGGAATCTCCGGACATCTTTTTTGAAGTTGAACCATTAAACTTTTTTATTTAAACTGAAATTTGATTGTATTTATTCAATTGTATAGGGTATTCCTTAAACTATAAATTTATTATAACTTCGACAGTTTCGTTATCATTTAAAAAAATATATTAATTTATTATTTAAACTATGTTACTTAGCCGATTTATCTTTTATAGAACATAGAATATAGAATATAGAATTATAGAATTGTTTTTTGAATACAACTTCAGAAAATTTTTCATCTCAAAACTTTTTTGATTCCGCATTTTCAAACCCCAGTAAGCTAGGTACTACTCTCAAAAAAGAAATATTTTCATACGTTTTTACCATGATGAAAAATATTGCTTTTATCCGATAGCCATAGGATATTCTTATTAAAATTAAAAAAAAATTAGGGGGCTTTTAGAGAAAAATTTTAGTTTTTTTCAACAGCAGCCGCTTACATCGCTACAACTCCGGCGCTCCTTTTCGAAACCGCTACAACTTAACTCTTACTTTTAGAAACTGCTACAACGTCTGCACTCCTCCTTAACCACAATATAAACACTGTAATTCAACTACCACAACTTAAAACTTCATTGCATTCGTCATTTCAATTCCACAATATTTTCAAGTCAATCGCAATTACAATATTATTTCCCTAAAATAAATAAAAGAACGTCTTACCAAATTTACAAACGACCATCCAAGTATTTCCCTTACCTTAGCCGTTCCCTTAGCCACATCCTCTAGGTAAGTCATATGCTCTTCGTTTAGAATACATAGCATATTTAAACTATGTGAACTAGACCTAAGTTCAGATACATAGTTTAGCGTTTAAGATTCTTATTAACTAATAACTGAGGCTTATTAACTGAGAAAAATATGTACGAACAACACATTTCTCAGAATTTTCAGATTCCCATTACATATCAGATTTGATCTAAGATTAAATTTGAATCTGATGTGTCTGACATATCCGATTATCGTCAGATTTTCTGTTAGATTTTTTAAAATGACACGGCGAAAACTAAATTTTTAAAAAAGTTTTGCCACGATCAGCTAGCTTTTGTTTTTTTGTTGTTAGCTTATATATTACAGATTTTAAAAACATTGCCTTCAAAAGTTTGATCTAAAAGTATAAATAGAATCTGAAGTGTAAACACTCATCAGATTTTATAGTAGATTTAATTTGATGTGTAACTGGTACCTTATGATATCGGAGAATATATCTCCCCGCTAATTTTTATTCATAAAAAAACTTAATGAATCACATTTAACTGGAAAGCCTGTTCCAGAAAGAAAAGAATTGTTCTTAATTCAGCAATTTTCAACAAATTAAATAAATTTTTCATTGGAAATTTTAATTAATTTGATTAAAGTTAAGCTATTTTATTCTAGCTTTATATTTAGAAAATTTAGTTCTTAAATCAAACTAATTCTAAAACACAGGATCAAAAGTCAATTGTTGATGTAGAATATATTGCAAATAATTATGTATAATTTATATTAACAGAATCAGAATATTAACTTCTTATTGTTTGCTTTTAATATGCTAAAAATTTGGAACACCGATTGCCGTTTTATGTAAACCGTTTCTGCTGTTCATAATATTACTTTTTACAAATTTTTTCTAGAATATCAATTTTATTATATAAAACTACACTCGTCAATAATTAAACTAGTATACAAAAATATTCATTAATTTTGAATATCAAATAAAAACTTGATCGTTATATGAGTAGTTTTCACAATAGATTAACATCAAGTCCATGTTATTCCTGATCACGAAATTTTTCCAGAATTTCTCGAAAAAAGTTTTTTTTCATAACATTTTACATATTCTCGGCTCATATTGTCTATACTGCAATATGAACTGAATATTTAGGGTAAATTCCTGTATATATAATAAATATCTTTATACATCACCGACCAACAACATTATTGCTATTACAGTACCGTGAAGAATATATTTTTAATCAATTTTATCACTTAATATATTATATATGTATAATAGCATATAAGAAGAAGCAAATTTATATCAGATATAAATTTATTACGTTTGATTTTGAAAATTATTTAACTAAAGATACTTATAATATAATTTTGTTATTCATATCTTACCATCGTAACAAAACTCCATTCCACTTAAACACAGCGAGCCAACATACAAGCACCCTGAAAAAGGGACAAATAAATTAAAGCATTATTTCTAAGCATAACTTTTTTTCTTTAATCTTTTTTACAATTTTAAAATTAACTAGGTCTTATTGCAAATAATATTATATTGTTGAATAATATGGAGGCGGTTCAAAATTACATATGCACAAAGCTGCATAAACAAAATATATGTATTTAGAGATTTATTACATATGTATTAAATTTTTGTTAGAAATTTTGTTTTGTTATTATATTTCTTTTATACATACAGATTTTGTTAAAACTATCTTATTAACTTAATTTTTCTTAATTTTAATTAATTTTCGAATTTAATTTTATTTAATATATAGTCTTTTTAATTTTTTTAAATTTAAATAGTTCTTTTCATTTATTTGTCTATACTTTATACAAATATTTTTTAATTTATTCAGGGTGTCTGGCATAAGGTGGCAAATAACTTTAGGGATGAAAAAAACTGTACAAAAGAGGGGGGGGGGGTGCAGATATACCTATTTTCGAGCTACAGCCTAAAGGTCCTGGAAAAACACAAGTATAAGATTTCTCCTGCACATGAAACAATATGATGTAGAACAAGCATCGGGCTAATTTTACAGGCCATTAATTGCTCTTTATGTTCTGTTTACAATGAATTAGATTTGAGCCATAGTTTTTGAGATAAAAGCTCGTCAAACTAAAAGTCAGAATTTTTGTTTTCTTTTCTAAAAACTAGAAATTTCTTGGAAATTTGTGTTATTTTTTTTTATTTGTATAAATTTGTGAATAACCATTTTTCAATTGTAAAGGAAAAGCGACTTCTAGAAGTTTCATATTTCTTCAAAATAACAACTTTTTTCTTTTTTACCGACCGCATTGTGTATACAATAAGGTATATTGACAGCAAATTTTGCATATCGATTTCTATTTTTAGTAACCTGTCCGTCTATCAGTCTGTGTGTGCACGCGTGTATCTCACATTCGGCTGAACCGATTTTGATGAAATTCTATATGTAAGTTAACTTTGACTGTGGTACCAATTGATACACTTTTGGGATGTATATTAGGAATCGGGAACTGGACATTTTAGCAGGGCTGTTTTACATTTTTGATCATAGAAAATGTTCAACAGATTTACTTGAAATTTAATATATAAGCATCCGAGCGTACATCCTAACTTTTGAAGCAAATCATTGTGTCAGCAATTGGACGTTTACTATGGGCGAAATATACATTTTTGTGTATATAAGGACAACTAATCAACCGATTTCATTGAAATTTAAATATTTCATTCGAGGTGTTAAAACAATGAATCTACAAATTTTTTAGAAAGGTCAGGACTCGCAAATTGATCTGAGGGCCGATTTTACACTTTTTACTCTCCTAAGAGTAAAAAATGTAAAATCATTAAATTCTCCTAAGAGCCAAATTTACATTTTATCTAGGTATGTTAACTAAAATTTCTAGGTATGTTAACTAAAAGCTTATTAAAGTATGTTAACTTAAAGCTTTAAGTGTCCTTAAAGTTGTAAAGAAGTGTTTAAAACGCGATTTCATAATCTTTTGGAATACTATTACTAATCTACACAATATACATTGCGGTCGGTTATGTGCTGATCACATCAGATTTTTTTCCTGTAGTGTAGTTTTTTACTGATACCTATTGAAAAAAAAATATTGAGAAAATTTATTAAATTTGGTAATATACATAACTAGTCGTGTGTGCTTGCATTGCAAGCCTTGCAAGTATGATGCCTGTAGTTTTGAAATTGTGTTCCATTCTGTGGCTGAGATATTTTAAGTTTACTTTATTTCTTCAAAAACACACCCATAATATAGATATAGATATGTTTTTTCCTGATAAATAATAAGATAAAACTTAAAACTTAAAATAAAAAAGTTCTGAGAAATAATTACCTAAAAATACATAATTAAACAAATAATTAGTTCCTTTGAAATCTAATACCTTTTGAGTAATTTATTTTAAAACTTCACTTTGAGTTATGTCGCATAAAATCGTAAAATACCTTCTACAATAAACACTTTTAGCCATAAATTATTGTTAATTATAAACTACAATTCATGCACGTATGTATTTGGAGTTTATAATACATGCGAATAAAACGCGTGACTGTAGAATGAGTTAACACCAATACTAACGTATATAGGGTAATACGTATTGCATACGATTTCTATGCGAAAAGTCTCAGGTTCGAACCCTGCAAAATGCGATTTGCCAGATCAACTTTTTTTATTGACAATTTTATTTTTTTTTAAAATAAAATTAAAAAACCTTCACCCTTACCAAATCAATATCAGCGAGTTTCCGTTCTAAAAATTTTACCCTACTTTTTACCTAAAAAGTTTAATGCAATAGAATAACATTATCTTATAAAATTTTACCCTAAAAATATATTGTCAAGGAGTTTAATGTAAACTTATGTTTTGCTTTCTAATACATGTTGCAACAGATCCCGAAAAGAATGCACAACTAAATTCATATGTACACACTTATTATAAAACAATGTAGATTTTATTAAAACAATTTTCTTAAGAAAGTTTTCATTTTTTGTTCTAACTCACACTTCCAAAAATGAATTTATATACAATATTAATACTTCCAAAAGTAAGTAAAAAATTACCCCTACAGGATGTAAAACCATTTTGTAAAAAACGGTTACAAAACATCTTGGGAGGGGGTGAAGGGGGAGGCCGGACGGGTGGAATCCTTGCTTTTTCTGGGACCCTAGAGGCAAAATTCTACCTAATGCCTTTTGTCCCATGTCTCTAGCCCTTCTAGAAGTACCCGTACTTTTTACCACCTGAGAAGTAGCTATATATATATAATGTAAAATATGATGGTTTTTGATGAGTTATACGATATATGAATAAAATATAGAATTATTAAGGGAAATTCAAGGTACTGCGTAGCCTAGTGGTTAGCGTGGTAGTCTCATAGCCAGAAGGTTATTGGATCAATGCTTGCCTGCATGTTGTATTTTTCTTTTTTTGGATTATTTTAAAAATTTTTTTTTTTATTTTGTTTAAATTTTGTGTTTTATTTTTTTTTTAATATATAACTGATAAATGTTATATAAAAGTTTAAAGAAAATTTCCAAAAAAATATTCTTATAATAGTTTGGAAAAATTCTCAAAAATTTTAAGTACATAAATATGTATGTAGTATGTATATTTTTTTTAAAGCTTACTGAGTAATTTTTTTAAGCTTTCTATATGAATTTAATAATATTCAAAACTGTAGAATAAATAGAAATAAATTTTAAACGCATAATTATTATATCATGGGGGTAAACTTACAAAAATTAATTTCTCAAATAAAGAAAAGGTTTAGTCAAAAACAAAATAATAATTTATGTATGTAAAAATATATGTAAGTATGTATATATGAATACATGTGTGTATGTATATATGAATGAATTAGAATTGAAGATTTTAAAATTTTTCGTTCCAACATATGAACGTATGTACATATGAATGTATTAGAATCGAAAATTTTGAAATTTTGCTGTTGGAAAAATTATAAATAAAATTATAAATGCAAATATACATAATTATGAATGGATACCTGCTTTTTTTAAACTGTGGGTAAACATATAGGATTGAATTTTAAACATAAAGAAAAGGTTTAGTCAAAAACAAAATAATAATTTTATTCATATATATGTATGTATGTATGTATGAATATATGTGTGTATGTATATATGAATGAATTAGAATTGAAGATTTTAAAATTTTTCGTTCCAACATATGAACGTATGTACATATGAATGTATTAGAATCGAAAATTAAAAAAGAAACAAAAACAAAATAATAATTTATGTATGTAAAAATATATGTATGTATGTATATATGAATACATGTGTGTATGTATGTATATATGAATGTATTAGAATTGAAGATTTTAAAATTTTTCGTTCCAACATATGAACGTATGTACATATGAATGTATTAGAATCGAAAATTTTGAAATTTTGCTGTTGGAAAAATTAGAAATAAAATTATTAACACAAACACACGTTATTATGAATGTATACCTAGTTTTTTTAAAACTGCGGGTGAACATATAGAAATAAATTTCTCAAATAAAGAAAAGGTTTAGGTTAAAATAAAATAATAATTGTATTCAAATATATATATGTACATATGAATGTAATTTTTTTTAAATAAAGAAAAGGTTTAGGCAAAAACAAAATAATAATTTTATTCAAATATATGTATGTATGTATATATAAATGTATTAAAATTTAGCATTTTACAGTTTTCCGTTTGGAACAATAAAAATAAAATTCTTTATCTTTTTAAAGCTTGCTGACGAAACGTAATGTTCAAAACAATAACAAATGAAATATTAATATTCAGATGTCACAAAACATCTGATGTCTGATAAAAGCTGACATTTATTTACGTTAAGATTAATTCGTTTATCCGCAACAAAAATATGTGAGATCATTATATTTTCAAATATTATTTATTTCTCGGTTTGTGTTTCTAATAATAAAAATAACGTAAAACGTATCATTTATTTCTTGGTTTGAATTTCTAATTATAAAAAGTATAAAAGAAAAACGTGCTTTTGTTATACAAAAATTTTTTCAGAAAATCTTAAAATAGAGCTATTTCGGGGCAAAAAAGTTCCAATGTCAGATTTTTCTGGTACCCTAGAGGCAAAACTCTACCTAATGCCTTTTGTCCCATGTCTCTAGCCCTTCTAGAAGTACCCGTACTTTTTACCACCTGAGAAGTAGCTATATATATATAATATGATGGTTTTTGATGAGTTATACGATATATGAATAAAATATAGAATTATTAAGGGAAATTCAAGGTACTACGTAGCCTAGTGGTTAGCGTGGTAGTCTCATAGCCAGAAGGTTATTGGATCAATGCTTGCCTGGATGTTGTATTTTTCTTTTTTTGGATTATTTTAAAAATTTTTTTTTTATTTTGTTTAAATTTTGTGTTTTATTTTTTTTTTAATATATAACTGATAAATGTTATATAAA